ACTATGGCTACTCATGCTGCCCTCTGTTGCCCCGGCATGCGTTCAACCAGATACAACAGCAACTCGTAACAGTATGAGACCAAGAACTTTTTCCTCTGAGATAAAACTTCAAGAACAAAAACTGACTGTAAACTGCTTCCTACAGTTCAAAACTGACAACTAAAAAACTTCAAAGGCATGGAAGTATACATTCTAGAATGACCAAAGCGAGAGCGCAATCGCAGCCTGCGAGTATCCACAGGACTGTGCACAAATGCAAAGACGAGTGCATATATTACGACTAGATAGCATGGAGACAGCACATGCATCAAACGATACACTACTTGAATCTCAGACAATGCAAAGGTTGAGACTGGCCTGCGGTAACAATAGTCAATACATCAGGCGCCAGCAGCATGCACTAGAATAAAAGGAATGAAACCTGAGTACAATGAAAGGTCATGCAAGATTCACCACAAGCTGGGAATATTCCAGAACACCTAATGACAATGGTCCCACTGATAATAAGAGAAAAGAAAAATATATGATAATAAGCGGACAAACAGAACCAATAAGAAGATACAGCTGTAGTTAGATAACTAATGTGAGCACGGCAGCAGGGGGAAAAAAGTCACAAGCACGGCAACCGGGAAGAAAGGAGTGAGTGAGTGAGTGAGTGAGAGAGAGAGAGAGAGAGAGAGAGAGAGAGAGAGAGAGAGAGAGAGAGAGAGAGAGAGAGAGAGAGAGAGAGAGAGAGAGAGAGAGAGAGAGAGAGAGAGAGAGAGAGAGAGAGAGAGAGAGAGAGAGAGAGAGAGAGAGAGAGAGAGGTAGTGAAGCAGATGAGTTCATCCTAGTTGACGGTACTGCCTAACAGAAAGGCCATGCTTAGCGATTTGAAAGTGGAGCGCTTTCTTTCGAGGCGTGCTGTGTCTGGGAGCTGGTTCCACAGGATAGCTCCAGCATGGCTAATGCGCTTAGCTGAGGATGCAGTGGGGGAGACAGGAATGATGAGTAACTTGCTGCTCCCTCCTCGTGTTCGGAGAGAGGGACTACGGGTGAAAAAGCTTGCAAACAGAGTACTTGAAGATTTGTTCAGGCAGCGCCAAATGAATACAAGAATGTGCATGTGGGTGTATATGCTGAGGGTATGGGCATTCATGCGTTCAAGTCAGGGAGCCGTGTGAGTGCGAGGGGCTGCCCTGCACACCGAGCGAGCCGCACGTTTGAACAAACTATTTAGGCGCTTATCCTGATAAGACGATAAGAAAGGGGCATAGGCAGCAGATGCATAGTCAAATTCTGATAGTATAAAGGACCTGAAAAACTAAACTGAACACGGCAAGAAAAAGGCAAACATGCTGCACTTCGATTTAGTAGCCCAATCTTAGTGGCAACGCGGTGTGCAACATGGCTTGTCATGGTGTTCCAGCTCATGTCTGAGTCGAAATGTAGGCCAAGATACTTGGCCGTATTCACAACAGGCAGCGTCTGCCCATTACAAATGACATGCAGCTCAAGTGCTTGAGATGGAGATGGGGGAATAGGCAATATCTGTGTCTTTCTTTCATTAAGAATTAAACCACGGCCCTTCAGCCAGGTGGCCAGGTGCTGAACAGCAGCTGAAAGGTGTGCAGAAACAGCTTCCGCAGACTCCCTGCTACATCGTATAGAGATGTCATCAGCAAACTGGATTGCTCCCACATTAAACGGCGATAGTTCTTCTGCTATGCCGCGGGCATAGACAATAAATAGCAGTGGGCCCAGTACCGACCCCTGGGGGACACCTGAGTAACTGGTGTACGGGAGACTTCTAGTCTGGCCAACCTGAACGTACTGTTCTCTATCAGAGAGGTAATCCACCAGCCAACAGAGTGCCGTGTCGCAGATGCCAAGTTCGAACAGATCTTGCACAAGAGTTTGATGTTTCACTTTATCGAATGCCTTTGACATATCAACAAAGGCTACACCTGTGTTGAGTTTGTTCATACGGGCCTCACAGATACCTTCCACAGCTAGCACTAGTGCGTCGGATGTAGAGTGGTGGGATCTGTAGCCGAATTGAGTTGGCGGGAATAAATTGTTCTGGACTAGATATCGTGTGAGTTGCTCGTGGACTATCCTTTCCAACACTTTGGATGCAATCGATAACAAGGACACTGGTCGATGATTCTTTGGCATGCTCGGATCTCCGCCTTTGAAGAGTGGCAATATCCTAGCACTTTTCATCTGGGCAGGAAATATGCCCTCTCTCAGGGACTTGTTAAAGATCAAAGTCGGGAATGGCGCCAGTACGTCTGCATGTGCGCGGAGAAGGGCTGCAGAAATGTCATCATCACCGCTGGACTTGGCTGGATTTAAACGTTCGAGGAGCTTCCTCACTCTGGCAATAGACACTGGCGCAAAGGCTGTCAGATCAGTGCTTGAGGCGGGCCCGTAGGGAAATGAGAGATGCACTGGGCGGCTGGCGTCCTCTACTATCTCTGCAAAGGTGTTTCGGATGGCATCAACAGAACATTGAGGTGGCTGAGATTGTCGATGTTTACCACTCAATTCTTTGATCGTGTGCCATGTCTGTTTGGTATTGCCAGACGCAGGTCGAAACTTGGATTGGTAGTAGGTCTCTTTCTGTTGCCTATTATAGCTGGTAGCTTCCCGCCTGGCAGCCTTGAAAGCTGAGTGGGAATGTTCTGTTCCATCACTAAGCCACCTCCTATGGAGCCGGTTGCGCTTGGTCAAGAGGTGTAATAACTGGCCGTTCATCCATGGTACTGATTTTTTCTTGCGTCGAGGGCTTGGTGCAAGAGGAGCATGTCTGTCTAACACTTGTAGAAAGCGGCTGGCCCACTCAGTCCACATGACAGTTGGGCTTCCGTCAATTTCACAAAAATCCTGTTGGACCAAATCTGCCTTGAACTGGTCATGATTAAATGTTTCGGTAGTGTCGCCGTAGCCCAGAAGTTACAGTACTTCTTACTGGGCTGAGTTGAAATTCACTGAGAACTGCTGCATGGTCACTGAACGCGATGGGGATAACAGTAGCCATATTTAGAGGGTCGAATGTATTGTAAAATTGATCCAGTGTGGTTGGTGCAGAGTTTGCTGAGAACCGAGTCGGCTGGTCGAACTCCGGGATATAAACTGTAGCTGGCCACGAGGTCAGATAGATAATGAAGCTGTGGATCTGGAGGTGCTGTTGGATTGGTGTTTATGTTGATGTCGCCACAAATAATCACGTTCTTCCCGGGCATTATAGCTGAATGGAGATGGTCGTCCAGGCAGTCCCAGTATCGAACTGGCTCAGATGGAGGTCGATAAATGGTTCCTATCAAACAAGTTCCAGATTTGCAATGGATTTCTCCCCAGCAGCTCTCAATTGCCGATTCTGTGAGGTCCATTCTTGGCTTGACCAGGAGGGATGTCTTGGAGTACAGGCAGACTCCTCCACCGGCCTGATCTTTTCTGTCTGAGCGCAGTATATTGAAGCCATCCAAAGCTATCTCTCCATCAGACACGGTGTCGTCTAGCCAGGTCTCGTTTACACAGATGATGTCAGGACTGTGAAGGTCGGCAAGCCATGCCAGCTCTCCAACTTTTTTCCTCAGGCTCCTAATGTTCAGCAGTAAAATTCGAATTGTTGGAGTTTGCGTTTGCATATTCAGTTCAAGAGCAGCAGGGTCGTTGCCTAATCTTCTTCCAGTCATTGCACAGATATATTATCCACATCCTGACTTAGAGATGCAAATGCGTTGCCAACAGTGACACTAAACTTTGCAGCTTGCGTCTCGGGCGGCGAGTCACGCTGATAGCCCCGTGATTTCTGGCCTGGAGTCCGGGCCGGTGCTCCACAGGTGTCATCTAGGATATCGCAATCCACGCCGTATCCGCTCTTACTGTCGTCCGTGCGGCTGCTGCTGCTGTTGGTGGTCGTGGTGCTGCTCTGCGCTGTTTGTTGATCTCCACTGGCATCAGACTGGGTGTACTTATCGAAGTTCCACTCTCTTGTGTACACAGGCCTTGGCCAGAAGCGCTTGTTGCTGAGAAACGATTCGTCCGCTGCACTGGCAACAATACGCGGAGTGGAGGATTTTTCTTTTTGAAATATTTTTACGTCAAACACTTGGACATTGTGGTCAGCCTCAGCTGCTCTTGCTGCGATGAACTCCTTCAGCTGGTCTGCAGTAATTGCATGCATCAGATTTCCGACAAACAGGACTCTCTTCTTCGCTGTGGGTTTGGTGGTGATGAGTCGCCATGTGGCGTCCGAATCCTCACTCATCTCTTCAAATTTCAGCAAGCGATCCACACGTGGCGGGGTCAACTCCGAGCTGGGTCCGGGTGTACCATGTGTACGGGAGTTGGACGGCTTGTTGTTTGAGCTGTCAACGTCGGATCTGACACTGCTAGTCAGGTCCATCTCGGGATCAATGGGTCGTGAACTCTCTACGGGTACGGCAGACTGTGAACGACTTTCTGTGCCTGTACTACGTTTCTTTCGATTTCGGCGCTGCCTCTGGCTGGTTGTTTCTTGCTCTCTCTCTAGGTCTGCAATGGCGGAGGAGTTTGATTTACAAGACGCACACGTAACATTGCAGATGTCCAAATTTTGGCACAGGCAAGTGTCGGCCAGGTCCTCTCTCAGCTGGGAAAGTTCGGAGCTCAATCCACTAATCCTTCGTTGATATCGTTTCTCCTGGTCCTGAAGTTGGCTTTCAAGACGAGCTAGAGTTCTCAGCACTTCTACAACATTGTGTTCGATGCCAGGCAATGAGCGAAGCTGTGTATGGACCTGTTCGGCGCTCACCAGCTGCTCAGTGTGATCTGGGCTAGCCATCCCACCCAGGCTGTTGGGGCTAGTCCCCAAAAGCTACCTAAAAACTACGGAAAAACGGGAGCCTCAATACACGCAACCTACTTTAAGGCAAAAATTGTTCTTTTGGTGGTCTTGACTGTATGTCCTTTCCCTTTCTACATAATATGTAACTAATCATTATTTTTGTATTTCTAATCCGCTGCACACACAGGGGACTGTGGATCACCACCAGGCAATATTCCTCATGGTACATTCCCAACTGGAAGTCCAACAACAGCTGGAAGTAAACTCACGGTGATGTGTGATACTGGATATACAGCTGATACTACGACATCACAGAAAATATCTTGTGGCACTGATGGTAATTGGACACCGACGCTTCCGAATCCTTGTATCCGTGAGTATTTCTAATGTTTTAACCCTTTGCATGCTGAGCCCCTTTTCTCCAATCCACTGGCTTTCCAGCGCACTGACTCTCTTAGTGGAGTATGCGCTTACAGCTCCGAACGAAATTTATTCTCATTTCACTCCACCTTGATGGATTTTCATCGTCCTTGGCTCGTTGGAAAGATCAGGACTAAGCGAATCCATTCTGGCAGGTATCTGCTCCATAGACACATCAGGGACACTTCCACGTCCTCTCCAAACTACTCCACCGTGCCTCGGAACGGCACAACAACTCAATTTCACATTCTTGTTCGGCTTCTTGCCCAAATTCAACCGATTTTCACAATTCAAACTGCGCTGCAAAGCTGAGATCCAAGCGCTTCATTTGATGTCCATCACGCATGCGCCGTGCCAAAGGGAAATCCCCTGGCACGCTTCCCAACAAAATGAAGTCATGCACAAACAAATTCGCCTTCACTCTGGGCTGTGATTTCCGTGTTCATCTTGTCGCCGCTCAATGAATTCTTATCCAATGGCGAAGATCTTCATATCCTCGGAAAGATAAGGTCAAGACCTTTCCAAAGGTGTGTTTATTTTCGCGATGCGTTTATGGTTGACGAAGTTAATAAAGTTTGTACACTGGTCTATGCACTGTGATATATCGCGCGAATGTTTTTGCGAGTTAACTCGTACGTAGTGGATCAGGTCATGAATAAAGCACGAGTTAACTCGTACTCAGCAATCTTCGGGGTGCTGAGTCGAATGGTCTTGGTCCGAGGAAGCTGCGACGTTCCCCTTCTCCTTTATTCCCAATCGAACTCGCACACTTTCACCGAAACCGGGTGACTGCGCCCTACTAGATGGCGATTTGTATGCAAAATGTCACTAAAACGCCATTTCGTTCTTATAAAAGCACGAATGACCGCGATTGGCCCATATGTTCTAGTCTTTGGGATGCTGAGTCGATTGGTTTTGGTCCAAAAAAGCGGCGATGTACTATTCGGCCCTTATTCCCAATCGAACATGGCTGAACAAGCGATCACGTGCTCGTGCGCACACCAGTCACCTGGTCACCGTGCCAGCAGGCGACAACTTTCACACCAAGGTTCAACTCAAAGGCTCAAAGGTTCGACTCGAGTGACGTAAACTCGACCAAGCATGCTGTAAGTTGTAGCCTGCAGGCACGGTGACCAGGTGACTGGTGTACGCACGAGCACGTGACCGCTTGTTCAGCCATGTTCGATTGGGAATAAGAGCCGAACGCTGTATCGCCGGCTTTTCGGACCAAAACCAGTCGACTCAGTGTCCAAAAGACTACAACATATGGGCCAATCGCCGTCATTCGTGCTTTTAGAAGAGCGAAATGGCGCTTTTAGTGACATGTTGCATACAAATCGCCATCCAGTAGGGCGCAGTCACCCAGTTCCGGTGGAAGTGCGCAAGTTGGATTGGGAACAAAGGATGAAGGGAGAGTCTCAGCTTCCTGGGACAAAGACTATTCGACTCAGCACCATCCCTCACAGGACATGCTGCTTTTCAGTAATGCCACTACCCGCTGTATTATCATTTCCTTTACTGGCCTAACTGGCTTTTTAAAACTTTATTACCCACTCTATTCAGTATCATTACCTTCACTGGCCTTCTATACTTTATCCTCCTTTTTAGTCGATATCATGTGATCAGGCTAATTTGCCTGTTTGTTCTTCGACTCTAAATAAACAAACAACAACAAACAACAACAACAACAACAACAACAACACCCCGAACACTCAGTGTGTTTGCTTTCAATACATCCTGTCACGAAGTTTGCGCATCTCCAAGCGACGGGACCTTTGGTCCGTCGTTTCTTGTTGTCGTCATCATAGCCATAACCAGGGTGGTGCAATTCGAGGGCTGCTTGAGTAACCCTTTGAACGTGGCAAACTTCGCTGTATTCTCTGCTATTTGTAGTCGCAGTCACATAATCTGCCAGACATGGCATTTCCTCTGGGCTGGACTCATCTTCCCCCTCGAACATAAAGTCCCAATCATTATCGACGGATCGGTCTGCTTGACAGACTCCCGGACGCCTGATCGAATCAGGACATAAAGGTCTTTATGGAAGTGAACATCTGGCCTTCTGATAACTCCAACTTCTGGAAACAGATCAGGGTTTAGTGACCGATCTGCCGGCCGATTTCCTACTAACACTTGACGTGGATCCGATATCCGACGCCGGTATACTCACCTTGCTGTCCGTCATCAGCAAAGGATCAGCTCCCGCAGAAGTGGAAGGAAAACTGAAGATATCCCGACGCTAAACGAAGGCACGTGATGCGCACGTCAGGCGAAATTACTGGTCAATCGGCGACACGCATTTTTCACAAAAAATTGCGTTTCACCTGCGGGGAGAGTATGCGTGTACTCGAGTCTCATCCTGAGCACGTTTTTTTCTCCGTTTTTTCAGCTCCAGTATAGCTGTATTTTTCATTGCAAAGCCGTCCTCGTTTGTTGTGTTCGTTGTTCAAACGAAGTGGACATTCAATCATGAAGGCAGAGGACAAAGGAGCCTGATTGGAGTTTCTCGTGGCATAAGACGGTCATACACAGACACTTTGGGATTTTCTGAATATAATATACCGTACGCACGATGCTGAGATCAATTTGTGCAATATCAAATTGTTTGTGATCTACCACATCGAGCAGAACGGGATCCAAACACAAGCTTACCGACGGTTAGGCTGCCGACCTGACTGGAAAAATGATCCCTGGCTTCACCAGACGCCAGAAGTCGGACACCATGTCCCTTGCCGCGACGTCCATCTCCAAAAAGAACTCCATCTTCGTCGTGACAAGGCTTGAAATCATCGTGACTCAATATTCAACCGAGATTCGCGGTCTCACCCTTTCTCAGATCGAATCATTTTTTGTTGTAGCAGTTGCAGGGCAGATCCCCGCCACTACTTCAACAGAAGATGGCTCCAAAGCATGCCTGGAACAAGCCATATCGAGGTTGCAAGCCACCCATCTCAGCACTTTTTTTTGAAGAAATTCGAAATTTCAATGGTGAAAGATATACTATGGAGAGAATTTCAAAAAGTATGTTTCGCGGAGCGATCGCTCAACCTACGTCATTCAAACTTTGCAGGATGGTTCAGACGTACATGCTAGGCATGGAACCACAGAAGATGATATCATAGCTGACACACAGAGTCACACACACAGCAGATTCGTGTGCACAGATACTAAATCAGTGGACGTCGTCATCTTCTTCCCGCTGATCTCAAATGTACTATGACGTGCTATTTCGCCTGACGTGGAGGTGAACATCGCACGTAGTGCAGTAGGTAGCACACTGGTGCTGCTTGGTACCCACTTCTGTGCAGTTTCTGCAGTTCTTCCTTTTCCTCACTCCAGGTATGTAAAGCTGAGCAACAGTAACCTGGACATCCTGTGGAACAGGCACTGGGCGATACGAGCGCTTCGGTGGCGGTGCATGCCCATCAATCGATGACAGCTGCCGGATGAGGTTACAGGGGAAATCTGAGTGCTGCAAGTTGCATCATCGAGTTATCACCCCTAGATGCTGGCTCCGCCACAAGTGAAAGCGGCGGTATGCATTGACAGCGCACAAGTCAACCATATCCAAGAAAAGACTCTTCCAGTATTTCTTCGTTTTGCGAAGCACACGATGCGTTTCAATCAGCTGATCGAACGTGGAGACTCCACCCATGCTGCTGCTGTAGTCTCTGATGGACACTGGCCTCTGCACTTCCATTTGCTGGTGTGCACCATCAATCTTGACATTTCTTGTCACTGTGTCATGCTCATGGCCCTGATGTATGTTGCTGTACATTGACACACACCGCTTGTCCTTCCATTGCTGGTACAGGTGATCTCCGTTGCGAACATAGCGTGTTGCACCTCGCTCTGCATGTTTCTCGAACTGTTTCATGTCGGTCCGCAATACGGCTGGAAATCCAGTGCGGTTCGCGCGGATGGTGCCAACCAACGATATTTGCTTGGTACGAAGAGATGTGGCCAGGATTTCGGAAGTGTAAAAATTGTCCGTGTAGATCACACTTCCGGCGCGCACGTCACTGACAAGCCGCATCACCACAGCATGAGTCAGGCCATTTTCACCTCCAGGTTGCTGGCCTGTGTAAACTTCAAAGTTTACAACAATGGGGCTTTGGGCGTCGCAGGCAGCGAAGACCTTGAAGCCCCATTTGACGGGCTTTTTGGGCATAAACTGCGGAAAAGGAGCGCGTCCCTTGCACTTGACCATGCGCTCGTCAACTCTAACGCAGTTGCCAGGGATGAACAAACGCTTGCAGGCCGCCTGCACATGGTCGTGAAGGTATCGCACCTTATGAAGCCGATTATTTACATCCTCTGTCCTGAAGTCCACAACCTTGAGGAAGCACATCAGCGCTAAGTACCTCTCTCTCTCTCTCTTTTCTCTCTTCTCTCTTCTCTCTCTTCTGACAATCTCTCTCTTCTCTCTCTTCTCTCTCTTCTCTTCTCTTCTCTTCTCTTCTCTTGTCTTCTCTTGTCTTCTCTTCTCTTCTCTTCTCTACTCTCTCTCTCTTCTCTCTTCTCTCTTCTCCCTTCTCTCTTATCTTATCTTCTCTTCTCTTCTCTCTCTTCTCTCTCTTCTCTTCTCTTCTCTTGTCTTCTCTCTATTATCTCTCTCTTCTCTCTCTTTCCTCTCTCTCTTCTCTTCTGTCTCTCTTCTCTTCTCTCTCTTCTCTTCTCTCTCTCTTCTCTTCTCTCTCTCTTCCCTTCTCTCTCTCTTCTCTTCTCTCTCTCTTCTCTTCTCTCTCTTCTCTTCTCTCTCTCTTCTCTTCTCTTCTCTTCTCTCTCTCTTCTCTTCTCTTCTCTCTCTCTTCTCTCTCTCTTCTCTTCTCTCTCTCTTCTCTTCTCTCTCTTCTCTTCTCTTCTCTCACTTCTCTTCTCTCTCTTCTGTTCCCTCTCTCTTCTCTCTCTCTCTTCTCTTCTCTTCTCTCTCTCTTCTCTTCTCTCTCTCTT